CTTGTATTGTGTTCCAAGCTTGTTTTGCACTTCTGGCACCAATTATCCTTGGAAAAATTGTGTCATCAACTGCTTGTTGAAGAACAAATAAAGCCCTTGAATCCTTCTGCTTGTTTTCCTTCAACTCCTTCTTTTGAGCTGCAGTAAGAGTGGATGTGTCTTTTGGAATAGTGAGTGAATCGTTCTTCTATGATGTCCCATAAATCTTGAGAACAGAAGAATGTCTTCATTTTGACACTCCAAAAATCATAGTTTTCTCCTTTGAAAATAGGTATTGGAATTGATGATGTTTGATTAATAGTAGTCATGAGTTGAGAATATATTTGGAAGTAGTAGAATGAGCTATTGTTTTGTTTGAGGTAGTTGAAAATTTTTATCTACGCCCAATAGATGACAAAACATAGCTCTGGTACCACTGTTAGTATTTTGAGGTTGTGAAAGGAATAGTTGATGGGATACAGAAGATGTAGAGATAGTTGAATATGAAAGTAGTAGTTGGAAGAAGTGTTGTAGTTGTTTTTAGTTATAGTAGATGTTAGCTTCACACAAATGGTAGATGTTGTCTACATCTTGCATCAAATGATAGAGTTCATGGGTATTTATAGACCTATAGATTATTCTAGAACATACTAGCCACAATTTATTAGGAATGTTTTAGATTTTTACTTATGTAGAGTATTCTTGATTTTTCTTCCTATCTTTGGCTTTTCTACAATATTCTAAAACTTGTATTACATTTCAATTCTTCTATCTAAGGAGCTTCTACATCCTTCTAAAATTTGCATTACACTTTATCAGATTTAGCTAACAAGCAAAAGGCATAAATACTTTAGTAGGCATTTGAAATTTCACAGGAATAGACTTTGCGTATGTAAGGTTTGGAACTTGAAAGAAGCATAGTATATGCAAGATAGATGTGAAATAGAACCCGATGCATGATTTATCCAAAACGAAACGTCTCAGATGAGGCAAAGGAAGGAACAAAGAATGTTCTGTCTAAGCTTTTGTTTAATGCTACATATCTTCAACAGATTCATTTAAGGCAATACCTTTCCCGAAGAGGAGGCATGCATGAGAGTCATTTCTATTGCTCGCTCGGCCACAAATATAAATATCATACTTATCTGATATATGATTCAACTTCAAAAACCCCTTTCCATTCCCTTCCTCTTTCTTCCACTTTTAAAACTCATGGCTGAATCGCTTCTTTTCAGCTCTGCAGAATCGCTCCTTGGGAAGCTTGCTTCTGCTGCCCTTCAAGAAGCTTCTCTAGCGTTTGGTGTGCACCGCCATCTTCAACACATGAAAGAAACTATGGGACTCATAAGAGGTGTGCTTTTAGATGCCGAGAAAAAGAATCCGCAGAGCAGTGCCCTGAGCGAATGGCTGACTCAAATCAAGCGCGTGTTTTCTGATGCTGAAGACATAGTCGATGATTTTGAGTGCGAAGCATTGCGGAAACACGTTGTGAACACCTATGGTAGCTGTTCAAGAAAGGTACGCCGTTTCTTCTCATCAAGTAATCCTGTTGTTTATCGTCTTAGAATGGCGCATCACATTCAAGACATCAACACCAGGTTGGCCAAACTTGCAGCTCAAAGAAGCATGTTTGGCCTTCAAGTCATTCATCTAGACACACGTGTCGTGCACGTGAGGGAAATGACTCATTCTCATGTAAACCCTTCCAATGTTATAGGGAGGGAAGATGATAAACAAGAAATAATAAAACTTCTGTTGAAAGATGATCATGGCCAAAGTCTCTCAGTTATTCCCATTGTGGGAATGGGAGGCTCGGGAAAGACCACACTTGCTAAGTTGGTCTTCAATGACGCCACTATTAATGCATGTTTTCCGTTGAGGATGTGGGTGTGTGTCTCCAATGACTTTGAACTTAGGAATGTGCTCATTAAAATCCTCAATTCTGCTCCAAACCCAAATAGGGAAAACTTCAATAACTTTGAGACAGAGCAACTTCAAATTCATTTGAGAAATACACTTGAAGGGCAGAAGTCCTTGCTTGTGTTGGATGACGTGTGGAACGAGGATCGTGCAAGATGGGATGAGTTGAGAGAAATAATAGATGTGGGTGTTGAAGGGAGTAAGATCCTAGTGACTACTCGTAGCCATAAAGTAGCTGCCATTATGCACACTAAATCCTCAAATTCGTACCTTCTAGGATGTCTCTCCGAAAAGGATTCTCTTTCTCTATTTGTGAAATATGCTTTTGAAGATGGAGATGAGATGAAACATCCACAACTATTGAAAATTGGGGAAGAAATAGTAAGAAAATGTGGAGGGTTACCATTGGCGGTGAAAACGGTGGGGAGTTCACTGTTGTCAAGGGTTGACGAGAGAGAGTGGGAGAGTGTAAGAGACAATGAGATTTGGAATTTAAAACAAAATGAAAAAGACATTTTGCCTGCTCTCAAACTAAGTTACGATCAACTCCCTTCATACTTAAGACCCTGTTTTGCTTCTTTCTCCCTTTACCCGGAAGACACTTTTCTTTTTACTTCTCAAGTTTGTAGGTTATGGGGAGGACTTGGTTTTCTTCCACCACCAAAGGCAAGTGAATCAATGTTTGATGTTGCCACTCAATTGTTACATGAGCTATGGTCAAGATCTTTTCTTTCAGAATATGAAGACTTTGGAGGTGATTTCCGGTTCAAATTACATGATTTGGTGGTTGATCTTGCCAAATATATTGCAAAGGGTGAGTTTGAAATAATACAAAAGCACAATCCAAACTTATACAAGAATGCCCATCATTTGTTATTAATGAATAATAATTTGCATGATCAAGCTCTTCTTCCCTCAAGTCTAAGAAGTATCATTTTTCCTAATGGAGCTAATAATGAAGATTTCTTGAATACATTGGTATCAAGGTGCAAATTCTTGAGAGTTTTAATCTTAGATATATGTGAATACGAAAGTCTGCCTCGCTGCATCGGAAAGTTGAAACATTTAAGATATCTCAGCCTTTCGAACAATGAAAACCTTACGGAACTCCCTGATTCAGTTTGCAAACTTCAAAATTTGCAAGTCTTGAACCTTAAAGGATGCATAAAGCTACAAAAGTTACCCGAAGGACTAGGAAATCTAATAAGCCTTCGTCACCTGTTTATAACCACCAAACAACCTGTTTTTCCAGAAAAAGAAGTTGCAAGTTTGACTTCTATAAAAAATTTAAGATTTTATAATTGTGATAATTTGGAGTCATTGTTCAAAGGAATACTACTACCCACTCTTAAAAGATTGACTTTAATTGATTGTAAAAGTCTAAAGACCGTGCCGTTCCATGCCATAAAAAATTTAGAGGTTTTAGTGATTTCCAACTGCAAGAAGTTGAAATTGTCAATGGGCCTTAGCGACGAAATCCTTTATTCAAGGTTGAAGCTTCTCATTCTTGTAGACTTGCCAAGTCTAGTCAGATTGCCTCGGTGGCTTCAAGGATCTGCCAACTCTTTACAGTCCTTAGCTATTGAACATTGCTTGAATCTTGAGGAGCTTCCCGATTGGCTACCAACTCTAAATTGTCTCCAACGACTTTCAGTTCTCTATTGTCCAAACCTATCATCACTCCCTCATAACATGCTTCACCTCACAAATCTAAAAGAGATAGATGTCACTGGTTCTTCTGAATTATGGAAAAGATACAGGCCAGGAGTTGGACAGGATTGGCACAACATATCTCATGTCAATCTTGTTTGGCAAGATTATCGATCAGAAAATGAAAAAGAATTAACAGTCAAAAGTTGAAGGTATATACTAATTTCACCATTTAACTTTTTTTATATTATTATTTTTCAACTATTCCTTTTTCTAATTTTAAATGATACATTATACTATTTTGTGAGTCCCTCCACATCAGGAACTGATCTAATAACATAAAGTTATGCAATCTCCTATTTACATGCAAACTATGTACTTTCTATAAATTTATACATTTTTTTCTCACTTCTGAACTTTTGAAACAATGTTTTTCTTTTATACAAAATAAAGTGCCGTAAGCTAATATTTGATAGTAATAGTGTAAACATCAAGTATAGATCAAACCAAGAAGAAAAATACATGTAGCCTTTTATGCTTTGTTCACTTTAGATAATTTGGGAGAGAATGATTGAATGGATTTGAGGGGATTTGAGGATAATTTTTTTGTTGTTTGTTTGAGTGGATTTGGAAGTAACTGAAAGTGGATTTGGAAGTAAAGTTTGTGAGAATTAGTATAAAATTTGATTGATGTGACAGATTTAAAAAATTTATTTGATTGTTAAAAATTAAAGATTACCAAAATGTCCCTATTTATTAAAGTAATATAAAATTATAATTGTTAATGTTATATTTAATTGAAAAAATGTTTATAAAGAGTGAAAAATTAATATTCATTATTAGAATTAATTTTAATATTGTCAAAAAAAATTATTTTAGTAAAATAAATTTATTTTTAGTTGTAATATTATTTATTACCAAGTGGTATGATTTTTAAAGAAAGAAATAATTAAACAAAAATAGGATATTACATTAGATAAAAGTTTTATTTATAATTATATTAATATAAAATTATTTATTTTCAAAAATAAATAAAATATTTGTAATATATACTTTTTTAAAATATATTTAAATATATATAATTATTCTTCAAATTGATTAACACTTTATATTCATCATTATAGTTAAATGAGATTATAA